CTGTGCAAGAAACAACCGTATTTATATCATTTTTTACCTCTGATTTACTGCAATGTCCAAACTGTCAAATGGATGGCAGACTTATAAGTGCATTACCGCCACCTATCTCTCAAACGGATCATTGACACTCCTAATTGAGATTGTAGATAGAGTGTCAATTGTCCACTTGAGAGATAGGTGGCGGTAATGCACTTATAAGTCTGTGATCCGCCGTTAAGAAAGAAGAAGAAGAAGACGCACACGCCTGCTGTTGAGAATGTGCTCAGGAGGACGCGCCGTTCAGTTTCTTGCACAGACCGATCGTTTTGTGTCTTTACACATCAATGTATCGTCACGAGCTGCAGGGTTTAATTTGGTTTTGTTTGTGTATGTTTTTTTTTACTCTCAAAGCCATGATTCCCATTCACCTCCATTATAAGACTGACAGACTGCAACGGTTTGTGTTAAAAATCGTAAAAAAATTAAAAAAATTTTTTACATTTTAACATTTTAAACTTAAGAGTTTTGAAGAATAATCTACTTTAATTTAATATGCCCATTTCCATGGAACACCATATATTTCATCAACTGACCCAAAAGTGACCTAATTTGGCAGCAACTCCGCTCTTACACAGGCACAAAAGACTAGATGCTATCAGAGACCATGAGTAAATGAGACGCTCCCCATTTAGAGGCGGCGCAACTATAACGACATGTGAATAATCCCACCCACTCTAAAGCGGTACTAAACTGCAGTGGAAACGCAAACCGAGCCATGCCGTGCCGTACTGAGCCGTACCGAGCCGAGTCGTACCACGCAGTGTAAAATGTCAATAGTCACCTACATCTTGGATGCCCTGGGGGTATGCAGATAAACATCAAATTTTCATTTTTGGGTGAACTATCCCTTTAATGCTTTTATTGAGCAAGGACGCATTAAATTGATCAAAAATAAAAGTAAATTACATTCATACAAAAAAAATCTATTTCAAATAAACGCTGAAATTTCTATTCAACAAAGTATCCTTAAAAGAAATTCACAATTTCCACAAAAATATCAAGAAAATATAAAAAATATATATACAACAACTGTTTTTATCATTGATAATAATAAGAAATGTTTCTTGAGCGGCAAATCAGCAGATTAGAAGGATCCTGTGACTCTGAAGACTGGAGTAATGATGCTGAAAATTCAGCTTTGCATCACAGCAATAAATTACATTTTAGAATATATTCAAATACAAAACAGTTATTTCAAATTGTAATAAAATTTTACAGTATGACTGTTGAATGAGTGTTGTATGAGTGAATAAATAGTGTGTGTTCCACAGTTATTGTCAAGTGTTCATGAGATGGATTGCCTGAGGGAAGAAACTGTTCCTGTGTCTGGTCGTTCTGGTGCTCAGAGCTCTGTAGCGTCGACCAGATGGCAACAGTTCAAAGAAGGAGTGTGCTGGATGTGAGGGGTCCAGAGTGATTCTGCCAGCCCTTTTGCTCACTCTGGATAAGTACAGTTCTTGGAGAGAAGGGAGGGTTGTACCAATGATTCGCTCAGCAGTCCGGACTACCCTCTGTAGTCTTCTGAGGTCTGATTTGGTAGCTGAGCTGAACCAGACAGTTATAGAAGTGCAGAGGACAGATTCAATGATGGCGGAGTAGAACTGTTTCAGCAGCTCCTGTGGCAGGGTGAACTTCCTCAGCTGGCGAAGGAAATACAACCTCTGCTGGGCCTTTTTAACAATCAACAATTATCAGAGATAAAGTCAAAACCGGAGGCATTTATTAAGCTGAGAGTGATCAGACTTCTAGTTTGAAATATGCTGCAGTCAGGCTCAGACTCAGACACCAGACTGTCCACTTTTATATCAGACTGACTATTATTTACTGTCTGTGGTTTGAATAGATTATATTCACAGTTCTGATTCACACCACTGACTCTATATAAAATGGACCAAAACAGTATAATTTATGATGGGAATTATTGTCTAAATTAGTA